ACAATTAAATTAACTTTTCAGACTCGTTTTATCTTCACTAAATTCAATATTCTTCTTGATTACACAAAAACTTGTCTGTTATTACTGTCCTATTAATATTGCTCTCTTTTTCAAATATGGCATATATAATGCTGACTTTGTTGAGACTTGAGTAATATTTCATTTTCGAAGGAACCCGAAATCGTTTCTTCACAGCGCTTATGTACAAATGAGATGTTTGTGAATAATAATAATAATAGATTGAATATGGTAAAGGTCCTACCGAATCCAGATAAACATGGCCAGAACGAGCATCAGGAGTTTCGAATGAGCCCAAGGGACACTTATTGTGTCTAACCACCTTAGATTTCTGGCAACTTACATAAGAGCATACCGACTCCCTCACGTTTCTGTGCATACCAGGCCAGAGAAACCGTTCTGCTATGAGCTTGATGGTTGAAAGGGTACCTGGATGAGAAATTTTGCATAACGTACTGAAGACGTCTCGCCTATAATATTTCGGAACGATTGGATGTATCACATAGTAAGGTTTCCCTACGTGTTCCCATCTGTTTGATGCACAGTTTAAGGGTTGTTGACGATAACCCGTGCTGAAAATCAGTATTTTTGAAGCTGTGAGGGTTTAAGAAAGTCGATTCCTTAGAAACTGTTCAAGGAAGTTATTTGAGAAAAGGCGTTTGCAACTACACTGCTATCTCTAGAAGTGTGTTGAATGTCTGAAGTAAACTGCGAAGTGAAGTTCAACTGTCGAGACTCTCTCGAGTTGAGCACTTGTCTGAAGATGAGCTTAAAGAGAAGGTTAGTGGTTTATGATCAGTAAAAAGGGTAAATTCACGGCCTGCGATAGAGTGCTGAAAACGCCGTACAGCACAATACAAAACTAGGAGTTCTCTACCGAAAGTGCTATACCTCGATTCCGTGTCTAACAGCCGTCTCGAGAAGAATGCCAAAGGTTATCAGGAGTGGTTAACCCATTGTTGTGAGGCTCCTCCAGTTGTCGGACGCGTCTACTGCGATACTAATGGGTGCTTCAGTGCCCTGATGTGCAAGCAATGTTGCTTGAGTGATAAGTTCCTCAATTGTGGAGAATGCTTTTCGCGTGATGTCGTCCAGATTGGTCGGTTAGCCGTTTCATAAGTGACGCGCAGTTTGGCATGAACCATCTGTCGAAACTTACAAGGCCGTTAAACGTGCGTAACTGCCTAATGGTGGTCGTTTCTGGGTAATCCAGAATGGTGGCCACTTTTTTTCTAAGGAGTAGAATGCCTTGCGCATCTATAGTGTGTCCAAGAAAGTCTAATGAGTCATTTTCGACTTGGCATTCCTGAATGTTTACAGTAATGCCATGTTTTTTGTAGTCGGTCGAATACAAGATCCAGATGCTGGAAATACGATTCTCTGTCTGGACTTGCTATTAGACAGTCATCGGATGTACGAAGTTGAGACCTCGAAAAACGTCATCTACGAACCTTTGGAAAGTTTGTGCATCGTTTCTTAGACCGGAAGGCATTCGTAAAAATTCGTAGAGTCCGAAGGGAGTTATGAAAGCCGTTTTCGAAATATCGTCAGTGGCCATAGGGATTTGGTTTTACGCTTTAACCAAGTCGATTTTCGAAAAGACAGTTGTACCTTTGAAGGTAGCCGTCAAATCGTGAATGTGAGGCAACGAGTAACGATCGGCAATGGTTTTCGCATTCAATCGCTGATAGTCACCAGTTGGAAGCCAGTGGTTGCTGCCGTTTTTAGGGACGATGTGCAGGGGAGATGTTCATTGACTGTTTGGCGACCGAATGATTCTTAAATTTATCATATGATCGAATTCGTTCTTAGCCAACCTCAGCTTTTCGGGAGCCAGTCGTCGCACTCTTGAGAATACAGGTGGTCCTGCAGTCGTGATGTGATGTGCAGTAATTCTAGTTAAACACGGCGATTTCGGTTGCGTTTGGCGTGTCCCAGAGTACTTATCTAGTAATTTTTGATAGAATGGATCTATCGTGTGCCTAACTGTGACTGGAGATAATCTGCAACCGCAAAAATGTTACACAAGCTGGTAAATTAGTGTTTTCGTCTACTAGCCTCCGTTTGCGCGTATCGATGAGTAGACTGTAGTGTTGTAACATGCCTATACCAATGATTGACATTCGAACACCTGCATCAACGAAAATCCAGTGAATGGGTTTGCGTAAACACACACTAAGACAAACATACATAAGGCGATAGGGTTTCCGTTTGCCACTCTTAAGTTTAAAACTGATTCGTGAAGCCGGTCGTTAGAAATTTCTGGAAGAACTAACATCGACGTGGTAGCGAACTTTCATTATAACATCTGTGAATTATAACAGACATCTATGTTCGCCGGCTACGATTGTCGTTAACACGCGCTGGCTGAAGAGTTTCCCGAATTCTTTTTCGTATTGTTCGGTTTTGAGTCTGGAAAATTGCAGGTTTTTCTGTAATTTCTAGATTTTCCAAACTAGTTATGGTTTCATCACCATTCGGAGTTATCCGTCCCTCGCACTTTAGAGACAGATCGCTTACGTGAAGTGCTTCTTCACGGGGAATGTGACCGTTTACGGCCATCACAAAATTGAAGATAACGGGTCTGCGTATGACATAGTTTTGTAATGTCATTCTGTGTCGCTTGAAGCTTTCCTTTGACCGAAAAAACCTTGACGTTAGAAGACTTGATGATTCATAAGATGCGGTCAGCAGATGCAACCAGCTCGTCTATGGCGTTATTTTGAAGCGAGACTGAATAAGAAAACAAGAAAAGTTGCCTGAATAGGCCATCATCGAAAGTCCTTTGGTTAATCACCTCGCTCATTCTTAACATCATGTCTGTCGCTGGAAAAAGGAGAGACATAAATAACGTACGGAACAGTAACTAGAGGATAGGAAAAGTGGGTCGACAAGGCGAATATTGTTTTATAATGAACATAAAATTATGATTGGTGAATAAACAAGACATAGTCATACAAGGTCAAAGAAAGTTAATGTGGGGGGTGTGCGTTTCACTTTAGCATTTGTGGGTTTGTTTGTCGATCACAGTTCACATTCGCGCAGTGGTGTCTCTACTACCGCGAGGACTTGTGCACACGTGTCGTTCACGCCGTGCACGTAGAAGTCTATCCCTGAGTAGCAGAACCAGACTTCGATGTTGTCTGGTTAAAATGACATTAGTTGAAATGAAGATGGATCCATGGTCTTTAACTTAAGTACTTTAGGTGTCTGTTCCGTCATGGCAAATATGAAAAACAGGAATGAACGAGGAAAAAATATTACAATATATAAACGTAAAATAAAGCAATGATATATGAACTTATAGCAGCTCATGTACAATTGAGTTTGTTCTCATTTAATTCAGGTAAGCCTTTTTGTTAACTTATTTATCGGACAGAGTCATCCGTACTATAAAAACTTGCTGTACCTTTATTATTGTTGCACTTGTATGAACTATATACGCTTGAACATTGCTTACCGCCTACGCATATATTCATTCTGCTAGCTTTATTATTAGCTGCTTAAATGATTTAATGATTCATCCATTTCCTTATATATATACATGTACATTTAAATCCACACACTACTCTACTCTTTCGATCCGCTGAATCACTCAGTTGCCTCTCTGCCTTGTGGTCTGAGTTATATGCTAATAAAACTGTAGTCGCTGCTTCACTTTGCTTTCTGATTTCAAACACAGTTGAGGATTATATGATAACGGTTACGAGGGTGATTGGTCAACGAAGCACAGCCACTACAAACTTCCAAAAAGTAACAAACTCACAGTCTGCAAGTTTGTGTATCAGATCACATCGGGCTCATCAATGAAGATGCCACAGGTATTTGGCGTTTGACGATGCTTTAACCAGTAACACCTTCTACTATGAATCGTACCCATCAAGTGAAATCAAAAGTCAAAAGCGAGGAGGTTCGAAGATATATTTGATAGGCTATCAGTATATTGAGAATCGACTGATCTAGACTGGCTAGCGATTGCAGGGATGTTGAGCACGGCGTCCTCACTCGTGATCTGGTGCGTATGCATGACCGAGCGCCTTCAGCTAGGTGAGTCCGTTAAAACTAATGCAGTCAGCATCCAATTTCGAAAACTTACAGAGCTATTGATTTTGGGGATTTATTTAACGCTACATCGTCAAAGGCTCAAGAATCTTGTGTAGTGTTCATAAGCCTTTTCAGTACTTGGATGGAGAAGTGTTTAGGGTACTAAACCCGAGTATCGTGAGGTCGCATTCGGAATATGGGATTCAAGTCCTTGTCTCGAGTACGAGGTGGATATGCTAGACCAAAATGGTAAAACGGTCAAACCTAGGAAGACAAACCGAGACACCCCGACTTATTTTTGTTATCTCACCACATATTACGGGGTGATCTAATATGTGCTTACCATATACTGAACAATGACCTTGGTATTAATGTCTTGTCTTTTCCTCCTATTAAGGACTGATCATCTGAGAAATCATTTTAAGGAAGTTTAAAAATTGAGATCCAATTGTTTACTTCTGAGGTTCCGTTTCTCGCATCGAGCAGTGAATTACTAGTATTCCCAACCAGAACACATAATATCAACACTTTCTGTTGGCACATTCAAAAAGGAAGCGGGACGTTAGTTGATATCTACGCTACTTTTGGGCATGGTGGTTTTCGTGTGTTCTCAGTGCAACGCCACATTAAAAAAGAGCAATGTACGGAATCATCTACAGTTTTCTCGACGTTGTTCATTAGTTTCGTGTGTAGACTGTCACAAAGACTTTGAGTAGGCTGCGTATATTTTCCATTCATTTAAAGCAAATTTTCTGTGGAATCTCACTGTTCATGTATTTCTGAGAAAGAAAAGTATGACAAAGCGAACTACTTGAAGTCATCCAAGAGCAACAATATTAGTAAACAGGCGGAGTGGGTCAAGAGAATAGAAGATGCAATACAAAATTGTAAGTCACAACGACACAAGTCTATTCTTCAAAACATCCGGGGGAATTGCAATGTACCTCAAAAAAGAAAAAGTTCGAGGTAGTTTCACTTTTTTCTTATTGTAAGTAGAATTTCATGAGGTCCAAGTATCGTAAAATACCCGAGGAGACCATTGAAGATATATGGAAATTATTGGAGCCACTTAAACGGGGACATTTAATACTGTTCCATCAAAACCTCAAAAAGATTTGTCAAGTGATCTAACAAATGATGAACCGACGATAAAGAAACGAAAACTGGAAGACACTTCTGAAGCTCTCAATAACTGTTCATCAGAGAACGAGTGTCACTTGCTGTCACTTCATCATATACAAAATGTTCTAGCTAAATTAGGTGGGAAAGCACCTTTCTCAAGTTTGAGAAAACAGGTACATTTTCACAACTTGTCTGTTGATTGCTAGTTGAACACTTAGTCTCATAACGCTTAACGTAGTGGTTCCCATTGCATTAGGAAGATATATATATATATATATATATATATATATATATATATATATATATACTAGGTGAATATTTAAGTTAAATTCTTATGATTATCTTGTAAAGTATTCTTTACGATAGTCTTGCTGATGATTCTGATAGTTTATCAGTGGTGAGCTTTCTAAAGGCAGAAAAGTCTCGGCTGAATAATAGCTGTAGTAAAATGTTAACCCTAAGTAATGGTTAGTTTGCGGGACCCTAATTGCTTATATACTGTCATGGTGGGTAACAAACCGATTATCTGAAGTTTCAGAGATCATTAATCGAGGGCATAAAAAGATCACCAGAACTTCCTTGTAACTTTATCCTTAGCGTTTATTACACTTCATGCCTTTAACTTCATACCCCTTAATTGCGTCTATTAATTCTACGGAAACATTTGGAAATGTGAGAAAAAGAAGACCAAGTCCTGTTCGAGATGTTTTTGGGGCGTTGCCAGTTATCTGATGTTCACTTCTTGGCAGAACTACTTCCTCTTGAGTGGACTGTAGGAGAATATGGATTGATTGTAAAGATCTGATCGACATGGGAACGTCAAGATTGTTACTCTTAGTTATACTTACTATCCTTGTTTTTATTTAGTCTCGTCGTAGACATACCGCTTACAAATTGCATCCAATTTTTTCGAGATTGCTCTCTGTCCTGGGAGCTCAATTTTAGACATGGAGTAGACGCTGATGAATTAGTGTCTCGTTCCTGGCTTCAGCATAAGATGCTCGAAAAATGCGATGGATCGTTTGATAAGCCTGTTACTATCAATTAGTGGTGATTAGAACATGTATTACATATCCCTTATTACCACCTGCCTCAAAGCGTGGTACCGAATTGGGAGATAGCTAATAAACGTCAAACAAAGATGCGAGGTCAGTGCATGGAATTATTGCTGAATTGAGGCATGCTTAGAGAAGCAAACTACTCGTTTGCTTACTTCCCACCTAGTTAGTTCTTAATTGTCCTTTGCTGCTACCTTGACGTGGTGGTCGGGCTTACCTATCATAATGAACCAATCGAGCTATATTGGCTTGAACAATCGTTCCTAAGGGTTCTGCCATGCCAGACGGGTCGGTTGAAGAGCGGTAAGACTAAAAGCAGCAAACCTAAGGTTCGAGGGTAAAGTCGTACCGCTGACTGTACAGAGGTGTGACGGCAGTAAGGTGTTTCCTTCAGACAACCGGCTTAACAGCGATGCTGCCTTCCCACAAGGATGGGTGGGGTCAGAGAGGGTTCACCCTAAAAATGCAAGTCACACCTTATCGCACAGATTTCCGTCCCCGGCGGTAATGTCTTAACAATCAAGAAGCTAACACGAAAACTGCTTACAAAAAGGTCGTGTGTGACCGACCTCAAACAGTTGTTCCCTGGACACTGTGTTCACAATCTCAGGTCACTAATACCACCCCTAACCCAGTTTCCTTTTCAGGTACCTTCAGAAGAGCCCTCTCACGGTGTGGACAACCGGGAAGTGATAACCGCCCTCATACCTGCAGCCAAGATCAGTGTGTTCATAATCACTCTCCCTCTTCAGTTCCTATTGTTCTTCCTACGTTAGTTTTCAACTATAAACATCCTCTTTTGGCTTCTTCTTCTGGTGTCACCATGATCAACGATTGTAGTGCGCGAAACACTATCGCAGGTCTACTGAAACCTCGCTCCAAACTACACATTGGAGCCTTCAACGTACGCACCCTGTGTCAAATCGGCCAGCAGGCATCCTTGGCTAAAACCGTAGAATCTCGTACCATCGATGTATTCTGTGTCTCAGAAATATGCATACAGGATCCTAGTGTTGCTCATTCACTTGACCTCACCTCTCCAAAGCAGAGAGCCGACAAGATACACCCTCCGTGTATGCACTATTCATCAGGTGTTAGAACACAGACATGCTTATCGGCGTTCGACAATAATAGTTTTTTCTTCACGTGAAAGTAGCATTTGACTTTGTAGACTGAGAGGTCATGCGGCAGTGTCTGTCATTAAAAGGCGTACCTACGAAGTACCTAAACCTTGTGAAGGCTCTTTACTCGAACATTACTAGTCTAGTCAGAGCTTATGCCGAACTGTCATCTGCTTTTGCAACCTCAAGTGGTGTCCGTCAAGGCTGTCCACTTTCTCCATTTTTGTTTAGCTTCATCGTAGACCTACTGATGGAAATAACGTTCTCGGGCATTGACCTCCTACCAGGAGGTCCACTTATCGATTTAGAATACGCAGATGACATAGTCCTGTTTGGTGAAAACGCTGATAAAATGCCGTCTTTTCGAAGCACTAAGCAACAATGCTAGAATGTTTGGAGTGTGTTTCTCCGCCTTTAAATGCAAATTGTTGCTTCTGGACTGACCTGAGTCAACATCCGAACTAAGGGTAGGGAGTAAAGTAGTGGAACGCGTTGACAATTTCCCGTATCTTAGAAGTCTGATTAGCCCTAATTGGTTGGTGTCTGAAGAATTTCTGCACGGATTCGAAAAGTTTGTTTTGCCAACTTACGTCACCTATGGCGAAGGTGAGATATCCATCTATCAATTAAGGGAGGAGTATGTTGTGCAGCAGTTCGTTCTAATTTACGACTGAGAAACGTGTCCATTAAAAGTAGAAGATACTCGTGAGTTGCTAGCACTTGATTGCAGAAATCTTAGAAATATTGCTCGCATCTGTTGGGCTCACCAGGTAAGTAATAGTGAGGTTAGATTCAGGGTATTGGGAAATGATGATAAATCGGTTGATGAGTTTGTTAATCTTTATTGACTCAGATGGTTGGGCCACGTGTTACGTGTGACTGAAAACTGATTACCATAATGTTGACTAGTGTTGGAGACCGTTGGAAGAAAGTTAGAGGCGGCCAAACCAAAATGTGGCATCAGTCCTTGTGGTCACTAACTTCTAGTCTTAGCCATGTTAGTAGATGCAGACTACTTGTTTGGGGTCCATATGACTAACCAGTGGTAGTAGACTGCATGACATGGCTCAGAATCAATTACAATGGCGTAGGTGTATACACTTTGTCATCCTTTAAACTATGAGATTAAAATTAATTCATACCTTTTTACGAACTAATTCTTTCTTCCTGTATTATATCCTTATACTCAATCTTTCTTTTGCATATTACTACGAATAAGGTAGCTAATTCTATTAATTTGGTGTTCATCTTGTTATGCTAATGAGGTGTGGCAACTTGGACCGATGCATATATGTGCCTGGTCCCACTTTGTATCTCACTGACTGAATACCCGTTTGTTGTATGTTCGCTAGCCATAATCAGTGATCAGTTAATCACAATGACGCAGATGCATTTACTGTTTCCCAGACCTCAAGCTGCTTCTCTAATCCATGCATACTTCTTCATTCTCTTTCGAACCATGTTCTCAATGTTTAGTCTTTCTTACTGTCAGCGCTACTCTAATTGTTTGAACTTCTTTGCTATTCCGTTGGGCTGATTTGATATGGCGCATTTGGCTAACTCATTTGTGCCGCTTTTTACATTGATTCTCGTTGATTATAAAAAGCTGCTTGAAACTGGTCACGTACGACCGTTTTATGAATAGTATTCTTGGATTTGTACTTCTCACGTTTTATCACCAGCAACCGGAAGTACGGGGTGCACGGCGGAGTACAATGTATTTATAATGCAACTTTCTTAATCGCATAATAAAGTTTACTGGCTTTCCTTGGGAAATACCTTCATGCTGTCATGCTCCAGTGTAGTTCGCGGTGCAACCTCACCCTTAGACGTCAGATCTGATGCTTTTTTCTTAATCACTCTAAAACCAAAGAACAATTGCTTCAGTTATTGGCTTGGTTTAAGTAATGTCAGGTGAATTAAAATACAAAGTCAATAGAAGTTCCCAGTTTCATACTTGAATACAGTATAAAGGCAATTGTTTTCACGCCAGTTTGGAAAATATGAGCAATTTCTTGAAAATATTCTCATCTTATGCCTTTTGTAAATCTTTTTTTTGATGAGTATTAAATGTATATTTTTGTTCTCAGATTTACAGTACGTATAAAACCAGCATACTTTCCCCACAAGAATGCATGACAAAAAAAGAGTTTAAAGCCAAATTGTTAGGTGTCATTCAAGACTCAGGGTACTTTATTTTTTCACCGTCTGATGGTATGATCAGCATGGTTAGTGATGGTTTAGTCGCTAGAACAGATCTCTGTAAGTAGTTAATCTTTTCTAATTGAATTTTAGGTGTAAATCCAGATCCAGATACTTCTATAATCACTTGTCAGAACGGTAAACCACATTATTCTGAAAGTATAAAAAAGTTACTAATCACCACAATAAACGATGCGGGAGGACAAATTTCTCTCAAGAAGCTTGTGAAAAGAGTAAGATGGTTCATTTTGGCTTGGCGTAGTCCAACGGTATTTTTGCTTATTAATGTGTTAAAAATAATCATTTTAGCATAGAATCTGATATAGACTTCCGTTATTTCTCTAGATTACATAAAAAATATTGCGATGTTATAGTCAAATCCTGAATGCTAATGTATATCGCTGGTAGATTTCTCATACTTGAGGTATAGATTGTAACCTACTTTGAATTTTAATTGCTTGTTAGTAATTCGGAGAATATCTCAATACGAAGCAATATATGTTGTCTGAATCATCTAAAATTTGCAACTATCCCAATCAATAAGGGCGGTTAATATTTATACTTTGTTGTATGCACAGTCGTTCACTGCTTTGGGTAATTGTTTCAGTCAATGTGCTACTGTTCCCAGATAATATGATCTTGTTTTAATTGCATAATGTTGTTGGCCATCGAAATTATACCCCAACTCAACCCAGTGACGTTATTGAGAAACAGGAAAATCAAAATCTTTACACCCCAAATATTGTGCTTCAGTTTTCAGTGCTTTACTTTACCAAGTATGTTTTTGTAACCCATGGGTAAATAGGACGTTAAAAACATAGAAGCAAGAATATTTCATAACGGTAGCGGCGAACTAATTTCGAAAATTTATATCTAGAAATTGTTTGTATGAACTAATGTTAAGATCGATATGTGAAAAAAAACTAGAATAAATATATCCAATACACTGTAGCCAATTATGAACCGTGTCACCTAAGGTAAAGCTCATGAGCATTATGCTTTTAGCATGTAGTAGCGTCCATGTCGTAAGTTTTCAACTCCATGTATACTTTTTTCAGTGGTTCGTTTATACACAAACACTTAATTGAAAGTACCACTATCACAGTTTGGTGTAGATTCTGTAAATTTATCCTTAAAAATGTAATATTTTCCTCATTACTCTCAAAATGCAGTTGTTTTTGCAGCATGAAATTGATATCAATAACTTTATTGATTTGTATATAGGTCTCGTCACGTATTTTGAATCCAAATGATCAAAAGGAAGTTAGTCTTACGAAAGAGGAAGTGGAGAGCAAAATTGTGAGAAAAGTCAATAAAAGTCAGTCTATGAAACTTTCAGATGACGGTAAACGGGTTGAACTTTGCTCATGAATTTGTGTATATATTTTCCATATAATAAAAGATATATATTTATTCCAGCGTTTTATTTCATTGTGAATTAACAACTCCGAGATTGAATTTGTGTGGGAAGTGGTTTTTATAGGCTAGTGGAAAACTTGTACATCATATTCGGTGTCATCACATCTTATTTGTTTTACATTATTTAGATGTAGAAGTTAGAGTAAATGTAGTCCTATAAAGCGTTTAAGATAAGTCTCTGGTGGGAACACTTTTGGTTTTTGTTATTGCACGTTCCAAACTGCAAACGTCACGTGAATAATTAATGTGCGAGAGATTTGATTTCTACTTAGTCACCTGCTTTTGTGGCTGGTATGGTGTTGGGCAGTAAAATAATATGGAGAAACTTTTCTTGGTTACCGTGGCACACCTTAATGTTGTTTACCGCTTGTAGTCAACGGCACTGGTTAAGAGAAATGATTTATCTAAGCAATCTTTTCAAGTTTGCTTACGTTCTCTGTCCTTATCCTCTCCTCACCAGTTCTTTTTTGTAGTTTTCATACTACTTATTAATATTCAGTAAATAGTTGTATGCCTAACAATTTCTACCTGTACGTTTTAACGCAAGTTTATAGTGTAATATTCTAAAGTATTTACATATATTTATAAAGTTTATTGTAATTATCATTACATCCTCTCAATCCCTGTAGCAGTTATTCTCAATTTTGTATGGTCGTTGAATATTTGTTTATACATAACAGTTTCCATATTTATTTGCTTTTGGTTCCATTTTTGCTTGTTGATAAACTGTTATCAAAATTAGACACAGCTATCATTTACACTATCGTATGCCATATTCTTTATGTCATCATTTCAGGAGACCATTTTTCTTTCAAACTTATAGACGCGCTAAGCACTACCTCACTAGTTGAGGTTTGTAACTAAGTTATATTTATTTCTCAATAAAGGACCGCTTTTTAGATAAATGACTGTTTTATGAACTATGGTTTCGCACGTATCTCAGTCGTGTAATTAGACTCTTTAATAGATTTGACAAACCTCATGTAGGTCTACTGCTTATTTGGAACAATTGTATTTGTCATTAAGTTTTGTCTATAAATTGCTTCTAAATTAATACACCCGAATTGTAATGCTCTAGTAGACAATTTCAAAGTAATCGTATTCCCCATTGTATGTTCTTGTAGTCAAGCAAATATGTGGCTGATGGATCCATGGTCTGGATGAGGCCTAACCTACTCTTTACAAGCTGGTTTTAGACTCATGTACTACATGACGGTAGTCAGTATTTTAAATGCAACCGATATCAAATTATTATTGAGTCAGTTATCTTGCGGTTCCACACATCGCGTCATTGACATCGGGTTTGTAGCTTGAGTGGGACAGCCCTCGATATTTATAAGATTCAGATGGTATCTCCATTTTGAACACTAGGGTTCCCATGCCGTACTCATGTTTTGTGTAATTATCATCATGGGGACTTTTACCAACAATTCGTCCTATTAGAGTGACTTGGAATCATAAACTTGTGTGACACCCACTGAAATTCAATGTCTTAAGGGATTAAAATATTTCTTACCTAACATTTCACTTTCTGGTTGTCTTTGGCTACTGACCAAACATAAATACCTGTACCTAAAAAATAGCCAGCAGGATGATGTAATTTGATAATAAATTTCGTAATCTGGTACATTTGGATTGTAACTCAGAGGAGCATAACAAAAATAAAGGAAAGATGTGTTACTTCTTATTCTTATTAATCCATAACATGACTGTTGATAGCGATTCAGGCAATTATTTTTGCTCCACTACTCAGGAGCTAGTGAGGCTGGAAGTCAATGGGACATGGTCCAAATACACGGGAAACACCGAAAAATTTAACGGTTATAGATCCACAGTACTAAAATCTTAAATAAACATCTCTAAAGTAGAACTAAGGTTTACGGGATTTCCTTTCTTACCATAAAGGTCACAGAAGTTTTCATTCTTAAACAATGCACATATACATACACACAAATTTACATACAGATCACTTATGAATCACCTTGACAGAAATGACATGGCATCAACTTGTTCAGACCTGTTTTTTTGATTGATCAAATATTATTCTTGCATTGTTCCATTGTACTATTTAAACTTGGATTAATTTTAATTTGGTTATTTATTCTCTGAAGAAGTGACTTACACTAAGTCACGAAACGTCAGAAAATCCAATTTTCTACTCATTGGGATATTACAAATATATTATTTTTATTTATAACAATCAACCCAATGCTCAATTTATTCGAAATTATCAAGTCAAACCTTGGTAATGACACCTAAAAAATGTTAAAAACATTTTCAATGTTGCAAATGTGCCTTTCGAAGTTCTAGGCACTTGTGACGGACAAGTTCAGTGTCACAGAAGCCATCAGCCTTCAATGATACTAGATCAGGTTACCTTAGCTGGTATGAATAAATGTTTAAAGCTTATGAGCCATGGTCAAGTATATGACTATACAAGTTACTTCTGAATAACATCTCTACTAGGCATACAGAGCTTAGAATAATGCCACAATATTTTGTTGTTCTGCATACACTAGAGATAGTATGGACCTAACTGTAGGAGTATATTTCAGTGAATCTCGTTACGTGCCCACATACACTTGGTAGTCAGGAAAAAAATTGACTAGTAAGGCAATGTTGATTTTATTTAAAAAAAACATTCATTTCAGAATACACTTATTCACCTTAGTAACTTGACTTTTGGGGTTACTAGCTCATCATGTGTATACAATATATCAGTTAAAAGTCAGAAATCGTTACTAAAATGAATGCAGTGTACTTTGTGAAGCATTCTCCTGCGTAGTCAACAGTTATGTCGACTTTTTATATATGAATCGGAAGTTTTGGGTCTCGGTCGTCGTAGATTTGTTCAGTGAACATTAAATTTTGCTACGAGTAGAGTAGATTTAACGTACAGAACTAATATCTGAATGTTAGTGAAAGGTATTTGCGAAATCATGAATCGTGATACTGCAGTTCTAAAAAAATAACTCAGAATTTTTTGATTGAGGTCGTGAACCGATTGATGTTAGATCACCATTGAAAACCTGGAAGCACTGGACGGCCGTTTCGTCCCATTGTGGGACTCCTCGGCAGTGCGCATCCACGACCCCGCTCGCAGGATTCGAACCCAGGGCTTCCAGTCTCGCTCACGAACGCTTAACCTACTGGACCACTGAGCCGGCATCCAATTTTGCATAAAACGCGACCATACTTACGGATTGTTCTAAATCGGATCATTGCATTTTGCGATTTGAAATATTCAACTGTTTCACCACCAAAATTGGATCTAGTTCTCGTCCGAGTAAAATTTTATGTCTAATTAGCAATTTCAATGTGTTTTTTTACCTAACTGATGAATAAGACTTGCATTCCACCCAGTGTGGTCTATTGTACACAGACTGGTAAAAGTATAGATTTTCTGCAATTAAGACCAGCACATTTCAGTTTTAGAAAAAATTAATATTCGAAAAATACATCACTTGGAGAATTAATGCATTCAGAATGGAAAACTAACTCTCATAGATGAAAAAAAATTCACTAGTCTCAATGTAATGCCTGAAGGTGGAAAAATGGCATCTATCACAGTCCTAATAACCAGAAGATCAGAAAATTTGAGATCGATGGATTACTAGTTCATCTACAGTAAGGAAAAGTAAGTCTTAACAAGCATTTATTCTAATGTACAAGTCAATATTAATGTGTTCGTCTCACTTCATAAACATCTGTTATTATATTCATTGTGTATAACATCTCAGTTCACTGTCAGAACATTTCTTTCTAGCATCATGTATTTTTCTGTAAACATTTAAACCACATCTAGTTATTCAATGCATTTTTCTATATTATCCAAATTTATAGTATTAGCTTTTGACAATAATTACAAATTAACATCAATAATTATACCCATTTTTATTAACTAAATTCTGAACTATACATTTTATAGGTATCATTACCAAGGTTTGATTTGATAATTTTGAATAAATTGAGCATTGGGTAGATTGTTATAAATAAGTAGTATATTTGTAATATCTCAATAAGTAGAAAAATTAGATTTTCTGACGTTTCGTGGCTTAATGTAAGTCACTTCTTCAGAGAATAAATAATCAAATTAAAATTAATCCAAGTTTAAATAGTACAACGGACTTACACTAAGCCATGGAAACGTCAGAAAGTCCAATTTTTCTATTCATTGAGATATTACAAATATACTATTCATTTATACATTTTATGCATAAATTGACGATAATTTCCATTTGTTTAAACTTTGGAAGATTCAGTAATATTTAAGGCCTATAACAATTAATGATGTTCATATATCTAAGCACAATATATTGTAATTCCACTTATCTTTCAATAAACTATTCATATTTACTTTTGAATTACTAAAAAAAACAGTATCATGTAAGATTACGGATGAAGGAAAAAAATCAAGTAATAAGTTAATCATTAGAAATAACAATCGGGAAATGAAAGATTTTTGATGACTATCAAAATGTCAAGAATTTAAAAATTTCGTAATATGTAAAGTAATTTTTTCTATGTTAGAAGTAATATGCTCCCTTCTAGTTTGAAACGATAATCATGTAACGAAGTGATTCAAATTACTTCTAACCTAAATTATTCCATTTAAAGTGAAATATATACGGAAATAATTTAAAACAAAAAAGCATATAAGAGATTTTTATATATGTACGTGTACATGTATTATATCTGATTGTATATGTTTACATAATCCACATTTACTCTTTTTTCTTTTTTTTTTCTTCCTTAAATATTCTGTTGATTTTTCATCGACAACATGTATTCTTTTTAATATTTGCATCATTCTTTAAATTTTGAAGAGTTTGAAGTTCATAAACTTCTTTTTCTTTAAGTTTCCTTAATAAATAAAGAAATAAATATAAACTATATTTTGAAATTTTCTATTTCAGAAGTTTAAAAATCCCCATAGAATATTCAAAAATGAAGAATATTTGAGCGAACAATTGTTTTCAATAACTTCATCATCAGGCTCTACAGTTATAAGTCCATAATTATAATATAATAATAGTGAACATCATATAAAAATAGAGGAAGCTTTCTCTGTTTCATATCAAGTTCAAAAATATCTACCTCAAGGAGCTAGATTACGACTACTTTACATAGCCGAAGCCATCTGGATCAACTCCAGATGACCAAATTTATGTATCCATAAAAAATATATCCAGCCTCTTTGTTTACCTTGGCCTACGACTGGATCACCGAATACCTAGACTGAATATTATAAACCTCATACCCCCCTCCTTTATTTTTATCTATTTATTCTTTTTCCTTATTATCATTATTTTTGATTATTTCTATCTTAGTCTTTACATCCATCATTCCCAATTCGTTTATCGTAATTACCTTGATAACACCCTCCTTATTACATATTATATTCACACAACAATCTTATTATTATTATCATCTCAATTTTCACAGATTGAAATCATGAGTCAGTTGAAGCTAGACCACCACTGAAAACCTGGAAGCACTGGACGGCCGTTTCGTCCTAGTATGGAACTCAGCAGTGCGCATCCACGATCCCGCACCCCGCTGGATTCGAACCCAGGACCTACTGGCTTCGCGCGCGAGCACTTAACCATTAGACTGAACACTTTACTCCAAATCATCCTGACCTTTATTGAATGACCTTTCTAAATTGCAAATAATATAACTTTGAAGTAATATATATATCGTAACAGATGTAAACGTGCACCATTTTTAACACATAACATTGTCTAATTCATTAATAAATGCCTTATTTTGGCCTTTGTAAAATATGATAATTATGGAAATATAACTGTAGAGCCTGATGATGAAGTTATTGAAAACAATTGTTCGCTCAAATATTCTTCATTTTTAAATTTTCTATTCTTTATTTTAATCACTTATCTAATTATAGATGAAGGATTTATTAGATTACTAATCTGAATACATGTATGTTCAATTGTTCAATTATCTTTTTAATTCAAGTAACGTATAAATGTAATTGGTTAAACAGTTTGTTTATTTCAAATTAAAAAAAAACTGATTGAACTTTACCATTTCTTTAACATTTCTTGTACCTGGATGATTTATTATTTTATTCCTTTGATAATGTAATTGTATACTTTAGTGAATAGATGAAGAAATCAATAATTTTTTTTTGTTTTTGGAATTCCTCATAGATTTGATAGAATATTAAGATAGTTCGAATTCTGATTTTATGAAGTAGAACTACTAGTCAGATGTAGGTATGTGATCACATATAAGCATATCAAAGCCACTAATGAATCACTAAGTATTTATGTAACTTGATCCGACGAATAGTTATCTGTCAGTCAATAAACAGATAGCTATTGACTTTGAAAAAAATGTTTATACTGCTACTGGTATGACTATTTGTCAAGATTGAGAGTTTATTTTTGATATGGCAGAAATGACGATTTATTTAAGATTAAATAGGGTAGATCATACAGTAAACCGCATAGTTTCTACTCGCCTCAAGAAGTTGAGATCAAGTGATGATAATCATGTGTGGGGACTTTATGTTGTCGAAAATTTCCATTGATCTCAACTTTATAAAGCTGACCATACTTTAGGAAAAATATTAATTGACCAATCACTAATTCTCAGTATCCGTTGAAGTTGCCTAAAGTCATCTAATAAATTTGATGGTAATCATTTTACTTATTCAAATAAAATGAATGATGCATCTAAACTTTTACACCTTGCCTCAATAAATTGTGTTCAGTTCAAATGCAAGATCTTTATGGATCAAACATTGATCCCACCATTGCTTAACAACTGATCCACTGTGGGAGGTGTCAGGGACAAGAAAAAATCTGATTCAGTAGTTTGGTTATATTTGTTAGTTGAATCGGTTTTTTTCTGCGGTCATAACAAATAACCACATCGGTACCAATATTTTACCAAAATACGACCGAAGATAGTGGTTATTAAAACTTAAAACGTTTCAATTTCAACAAGTTAGATACTGATTTATTTAAACGATGTCATTAAAATTTTCTCAGGACTATAACTCATGGATAAATCGATTTAACATAGTGACTGTTGGTTTAATTTACCTAAATAGCTAAATAACATTTTGACTTCATAGCTGATGTCAATTCGTGATGAAAACTTAATTTAATTCCTAACCATAGCTACTAACTGGGATCCATAATCTTAATTCCTCACAGTAATTAATAGCCCTGTTTTGACCCTAGTAAGTAGATAAGGTTTTTTGAGACCACTTTAGTATCGCTCAAACGTTGTCTATAAGTCATAGTCTTTCCGAAGAATGTTTTAAGCTTCCATTTGAGTGCAAAAAGGGTTTGGATGAATTGAAACAGTTTTTTCTTTCTGCCTCATCATAACATCGGACTCGATAGGAAGAGATGTCTTATGAAATGAATTCTTTTACAATATACTGGGAATTATATGTTCACACATAATAAACGGGTAATATTAAATAGTTTTACCTTGCCATAACCATAAACGCCTCTTCTATATTGTGCCCAGTTTTTGCACTGACTTCAAAGCACATTGTTTTATATACCTGTAGATTTAATAATTAAAATTTATTTCTGATACAATTAAGGGGAAGCATACAAATCTGAGTTGAAGATGATCTTCAGTTAAGATACAAATTATTTTAGGATTCGAACTTGACCAGGATGAAATATCCATATTTAAAGAAAATACTGTAGCCAAGTATACCAGTTGACAAATGAAGAACAATTTATTTTCGTGCAATGTTCGAGAAATCACTCCAAATATTGCAGTTAGTTTTATGGTATGAATATATCCATCTTTTTTCAGTGTTCAACAAACGTTCAGTTTCTAGCATTTTTGAGCTGTTTTCTGAGTGTATTAACCCTAACTTTTAGAATCTACTTTAAATCTAAGTTCGAAAAAAGTAATTTGTTAAGTAAAATTGTTTCGGGGTTATACCGCACAGATGACTTATGCATATCAACCTTGGTGAAAAAGGTGAAGACAACTGTATTATTTTTTTAAATTCTAAATAAGTAAAGATCATTATTCTTGTACAGACTGTCTTAGAAAGTCGGTTTTCATTTTCTTCAAAAATAAAAAAATACTCAACGAAGGGGAGAGGTTTCAGCAAAATTTTATAAACTTGAAGTATGACACGATCAAATTTACAAAATCACAACATGACATTATAGTTTGGTGTAAGGCCTTGTGGAGGTCGGTACAAAACCTAATACTAATGAGAAACTCGGATTGTCATTTTTAATATTGAATATATCGGCTGTATTATATGTATTCATGCATAGTTAGCAGAGGGCTTGTTATTGTTGTATTGGCCTGTCCACTTAGCATATTCGCTGACTCCTTTTACTATTCAAAAGGCCGTTTGAAGGCTCGTATGAGCGCATGGCCAACCGCTTAAGCTTCCTCTATTCATTGAGCTTATTGTTTTTTTGTTCATGTGAATGCACGAAATATGATTTTCTAGCAGCATTTCTCATCTGACTTCTAAATACCACCGTTGTAAAAAGGCAATTAGCCAAAGTATGAAAAATGAAATTATATATATTTCATCCTTATTAATTAGAGTCATGATTCAGGTTACAAAGTTGTTGAGCACTTGGACTAAAAAAGTAGAGAGCCCAAACTCAATGCAGCTTGCCTATAAGTCATCCACAGTAAATTAACCATAAGTATACTGTTAAAATTATCATGTCAGTAGTATTGTGACCACCAGCGTAGATCGTTAAAATCGCTGAAGCACTAGTTACAAATATTCTTTAGTTTTTCTGCCACTAAGACGTCTGAATGCTCACTAACAAATTCCCTGTGACCACAAATTATCTATTGTAATAAGCACAAAAATACACCCCACTAAAGAATCCAATCAATTACTTAGGTTAAAATACAAATCAGTAGCACTTACTGCTCTAAGTCACCATATATATATATATATATATATATATATATATATATATATATATATATATATATATATATATGCCGAGTACTTTTACCAGTGCAAATTCCATAAATCAATACACAGAGTTTTCGCGAAATTATTGTCCTTATAATATGAAATACTAAATGTTTATGTGGTATATAAAGAATTCTCGGTAATCTGGCAAATATCTTAATTTTAATCACTGCTACACAAAGAACTTACGCGAACAATTTTATCAATTGTAGCTCGCGATACTGCACGTTTATTATCATTTTCTTCAATGAGATCAGATTTGTTTTCAAGAATTAAGATAACGGTATTCTCGTCTGTTTCTTCGGTAACCGACTGAAGCCATGAACGGACGGCTAAAAAACTTGATTCATTAGTTGCATCGAACACAATAATTACACCATCTGATTTACGATAATATTGTCGTGTAATACTTCTGAATCTGCAAGTTTGTCAAAGTAAGATATGTCTTTACTTCAAAAGCTTATACTACTTAGAAGTAGTTAAAAAATTTCAAATAATTTCTAGAACACACAAATATGAGCTCTTAACAAAGCACCCTAAGCAGCCATCTTGTAGCTAATTTCCACCAATCACTCAATGGTGAATTTACTTTTGAAGAAAATTACTTGACCATATTTGAAATACGAACATAGGCTGTGACTATAGGCTTTCAGAACCAGGCAAGTGAATGTGGAAATGTCAACAGCTGTATTCAACAACGTTTGGTTTATAGTGGTTTCAAGATCCTCTTGGTATCATGTATATAATCTTGTTGGATCCTGCAAAAAGACATAAGATGATTTGTATTCTTTGAGCTAAGACTACATGTACAAAACCATTTATCTACTGTCTTTTGGCTTTTACTCATTATTTATTATTACTTGTACTAAGTACACTTAAAAACTAATCATTTTGGATGATTCTTCTACTAGTTTATTTTCTGACTTTTGAGGCACATTATTTTCAAATATTTACTAAAATAGGGTAAATTGATGTCCATGCAAGTCTTGATCTAAAGTTTGTAAACAATTAGTATTTTAATAGTTTTCAATAATGGCAATAGATTTCTAAATTTGTTTGAACTTTTATTCCAGAGATGTTCTCATGTAACTCGATTATTCAGTTTTAATTCTCGAATGGATCCTATAATAATGATAATGATCATTAGTTTTGTCAAATTCATATTCATTCAAACCTACTGATAAGTCGAATACGCTTCCCTATGATATTACGTGATCAGTGAACCTATAGAATAATGCAGAACGATTTTGACGCAATTTATCCAAACAGAAAATAGAGAAACTAAATAAATAATTATCTGTAGAATATGAAAGAATTATTGAAAGTATACTAATTTTACATGAATAAGATCGTTTTTGAAGGTGTCTATGGGTGCTCTAACGTAACATCCTAAACCCAACTTTCACACTCTTCATAGATTACAATGAAATATCAATGCATCTCGTACTTCTGAATATAAATTAAATATCTTTCCGTATACACATTCACATTTTAGAGTTTTCTTTGACATTCCAACGTCCAGTGAACATTTTATTATGACATTTTCTATGCTAAAATTCTTCATGAAGAGATCAATCGTGAACTCTCATTGCCTTTATTGCTAAATAAACGATGCGTTTGACTGACGCTGATTATCATATTGTTGATTGTTTGTTCTTGATTGGTTTTGCGATATTCTTTAGTTTAGCCCAAATTAATTTTAAATTTAAGTGGAAAAAATCTAGTGATTTTTCCCACTAATAATGTACTTTAATGTAGGTTAGAAATTTTTATAAACACTTTACTTATATCACTTGAGAAAGTATTTTATATCTTTTGTATATAACATATAATTCTTCCTTATTTCTTTCTAATCACAATTTAAAAGGGATTCCATTTATTGTAAATAAGGTTTTGTAATAAACTTGAACATTCATTATTATGTGTAAATACAGTTATGAAATGGTCGAACTTTTGCAGTTCATGTTTACTTTAAAAAAAAGAGTGAATTCTATGATTTAGTAAGAATATGAGGATTATGAAGAATTTCAAGATCATGTAAACCTGTCTAGTAAACGAATGTTATCGGAGAAGGGAACCATATTCATAATAATTTCTACTTTTAAAATAAAACTATAGTCGACTTTTATTTTGGATCGATTCATTCAGCTTCTATAGTAAAAGCTTGATGGGGAGATTCTGGTTCCATTCCAATGATCGTCTATGAGATTTATTAGTTTCTCCATCGTTTAATAAGTTTGTAGGCTGAAATTAGTCTCAGGATGTTTCAAAATAAGATGAATAATTACTGTACTACAAATAGCTTTAGTGATAGAAATCACTTTCAAACAAAATATATGGTATAAAAGTTTATTTTTTTTAATCTTCGAAACCATAAGAGCTAATCTAATATTAAATATTAAGATTCAGGAAAACTACAGTAAATTAAGAAAACCATGTTTACATAATTTATCTGAGCTTACATGTAAGTGTTTCATATAATTCATTTGTTTAAAAGGATTTATGTAAGAATATCTACTCCTGTAGTAATTCTAAGTATAATTTTCTCAAAATGCTAGAGTTGAAACATTATTAACAAATAAGGTTTGACACTAATTGGAAAATAAAATTTAGAATTAAAGCTTTTATCTATTACCTGCTAATTATCAAATTTATTTTATTATTTTATTCAAACACATTAACATTGGTAGAAAGAGGCACCAAATAGATATGTGCCACATAAATCGAATGATTTATGTGTGGGTTGGGATACTGCCCGGGTGTTAGAACCGAAGCAGTTGGTTTTCTTAGGGGGCCACACTCGGACCCTTTGACCCAAAGGTCTGGTCCACAAGGCAGTAGAGCAACGTCAGCAGATGCAGTCCCATGGTAGCCAGTGACCAACAATAGGTTCATAGGGCATTTGTCTCCTTCAGGATTCCGGAGCCCATGTGGACCGTTGATTTAGAATCAGGGTTTTCTAACCCCCTTAGGTGGACTCTCCATTTCCACCAATCCAGTTAAAGTGCCGGACATTCGCTTTTCGTCCTCTCAATTTCGCAAACAACACTCCCGCCGTGAGAAGGCGATGAGTAGGACTTCCATAGCGGTGGTTGAATGCACGTGGCCATGTGAGAGCATTTCGAGAGGGAGAGCTGACTCTCCCCATTCTCTGCCGTATCAAGGCACTTGGAGGCCCTACTAGTTAAGTATGAATGATCCTAATGAAAATAAAATCTATCAGTCATCAGTTTAAACGCCAATAAATACATAAATAAATAAACACCTTATAACAAATTTAATGCATGAACTTTCGTTTACAACAGTAAGACAGAGTTAAGTGAAAACGTAATTATATCTGAAAATCGACAGGTGTAAATATAGGTCACTATTTAGTGGTTAAGTAATGCGGTGTTTTGTGTTAAATGTGACTGTACTGGATTCTATCCCGTATAGCGTTTTGAATGTAAACTGGTGAAGAGTTCTTAGTCAATATGAAATATTTTTCCACTAATTTCGAATAATTTTTAAAATAGTTCATTAGCTGAGATCACTTTATGATTAAAATTACTTCATTGATTATAGACAATCTCCAAAAAAAAGAATAACTGTGGATAATTTCACTTTTCTAGAGAATTTAATTGTCTTAGTAAATGAAACCGTATCACTCCTGAGGTTGGAACTGATAATTTCAAATAAATTTAGCGTCCATTGAATCGATTGTATGAAAAGGTTAATTTATTTGTAGTGTCACAGCTGGTAGAATGTTGAACTTTTGATGTTACACAGTTTAATGTAAGTCACAGAAAAAAGGACTTACGTTAGTCACCAAAAATGTTTAAATTTCACTTTTCAACTCGTTCGCATATTACAAGTATATGATTATTTTCGTCATAATAGTTGTAATTTTATAATCCACATGTATATTAACAAATTAACAAATTTAGTGAACTGTATAGTAGTCATATCAACTCTATATGTACATAGACAGTCAATACGACAGGTGGTTGAATGTTAATCCTGAACTGTAAATAACTTTTATTTATGGATCTATATGAAACTGTGCAAACTAAGTAATTGATTTGTGCAAAAAATCTCTTAACAATACTTATCATAGAATCAATTGTATTTACGCTGATGAACGTATTGGTTGTGATCATCAGCGAAATTTCAGATAACCTTTTCTTCTAAACTTGAATTGATATATCTGTTTTCTAAGGATGTTCAGTTTTCCTACTGGTACTCGACAACAGAAAATTGTCCACTAGATTAACGAGTTACAACAACTAGTTTTTTCATTGAGCATTGCAGAATAGGTACCAATAAATGTTTGCCTTTATACTAGAGGAATTACTGTGGCATTAATATATCAAAGTAGATTGATCACATAACTCCTGTAGAATTCAACTGAGGAAGCGTTTAAGCTCTAATAAAGGAAAATGAACTCCTGTTTGACGTGTGAACTGTTTATATTGAATGTCTGAAGCTGCCGACTGTTCGAACTATATTAACATTTATGTATTTCATCCACTGATTGCAAAAATTATATTTTCAAGACTGGACGCTGATTAGCATGATATTACACTATGTACTCTAAATAAACAATAATGTTTATTATTATCATGTGATGGTGTTGTCTTTCATTGTTTTTCCAACTAAATAGTTATTAAATGTCACTAAAAACATAATAGACTTCTGAATAAAATATGCTTTTCGATCCCAATCAATTGGAATTAAATTTCCTGCGTAATATGTACTAATCATATGAATAAGTCACGAAATTAGTTGATCAAGTTATCTAAAGGTGAGTTATTATGTTTGGCTAGCAAATAAATAATAGTAATTTTAAAACTACAATCATAAAATATTTACGCATCAAATAAATAATCAAGAGCACTGTTAAATGTTGGTTGAACCAATAATTAAAAATGGAACGAACGACTGTACCAGAAAGAATAATTAAGAATCATTTTCGACCTGTGGCCTATCTAAGATTGCTGCTAGTCCCAAGCCCGGATGATGGGTTGGGGATGGGGTTAGCAATCTTATCTCATAGAAAACAACCTTGCTAAAAATAACTCAATCAGAGTCCGCAAACGAATTATTCAAGATAAGTAAAGTAGAAACAAGCACTGATCACAAAGTAACTGAAAGGGATGGAGAATAAAAATATACAATTAGAAGTAGGAGAAGGAATCAAATTGAAATATAAGTCGGCAGGATAACTAGCTGCAACAGGTGTTTGAGATTCAGTACAATAAACAAACTTTGGAAATTCGTAGTTACAAAACTGGCTACTTTCTATTTTTAAGTAGCATAGGGTACTACTAAAATTCAACCAACGGAGGAATGGAATTATTAGCATTAGGCCTCTAAAACACCATATTTTATTTAGTGAATGCATCTTGATGGAAATTTCGTGATTAAAAAAACTGACTAAATATTTTATGAAATCGATTTTGGATAGCAACTGATTTGTGCTGTGTACAAATTGGTACTCTATAACTAAATGTAATCCATGGTGGATACTATCGAAATATGTTATAACAAATTGGCTTCAGCGATGTAGTGGTGTGTATTCTTTAAATTTTTCTAAATGTCAACTATCTTATTGGTATGAAACTAAATTTTATTCTTCATTTTGTTATCGCACGGTTGTTTTACTACTCACCATTTCTTTTATTAATTTCACTTTAATGTATATTGTTCTATTGATTTCATCTTGTTTTAGTAATGTTGTCAAGCATTTATATTAGATTGTATGTTGTTTCTCTTCAAGGTAACAAACCACTTCAAACTTTTTTGAACATCAAAATCAAGGTCTTTCAGATATACCTACTAATTGAATTCATCTAACTAACAATAGGGAAATTTGTGTTGACCCTAAATCCACAAACGAACAGACAGACTAAATATTGTGTAACTAAGAATTATGGTGAGTTACTTGAGGTTAGACAGAGTTTAGGAATTCAGCATACATATTAAACTGTCACAATATTTAAGTAGTGAACATCTCAATAACATTTTTGTTTTTTGCTCAGATGACAACTTTTTATGGTATGAAACTATGCTACAAGTATATCTTTTTATCCCGAGTTCGGAGGTTCTAAACTAGGTTGATTAGTCTGTTGATCATTCAGTTAGATGTCTGAGAATAAAGCTTACCGGTGCATTAATAGTAATCACACAAACACTTTAAACTATTGGATATGTACATTAATAAAGCAGTCTGAAAGTCTTCTCTGAAATTTATTTTACAGGAGCTATATTACTAGGATTAAAATTTTATATCCTTTAAACAATTATCATCAGGATAGAGACAGAAATTCAATTTGAAAATCTATTTGATTAATTGAAAGATTTGTTTAGAGTGAATGAAGAAAAGAAGGACTGGTTAAAATCAACGCTAGTTGATATCAAGAATCAATATCTCATTTCGCCCACATTGACATTAAAATTTTTATCTAAAGAACACCTGACATCATCAAGAAACCTTGAGCGAAATGTTGATGTAGTGATATTTCAGTCAGATAAAGGTTCAGATTTTGTCCTTCTGAACATTCAAGATGCAAGGTAGATAAAAGTAACAAGAACTAAACTGTTTCATTTCAAGCTGTTTCATTTAATTGTATTTTGTTGATGGCTAATTCATCTTACTGAAAAGTTACCCACTGGTTAGCTGAGCAATAAAAGCCATTTCATCACCTGCTAGCTATATGCTTATTAAAAAATTCATTTGAACTTGTGGAGAGTATGAATGACGTAAACACTTCTGGTAAGTAGATGGTTTATTTTGATGAAAAATCCCGTCAGTTACTAAAACTTACTCGTCTAAACACTATTTCACGGAACATTGAGGGTACACTAGAAGTGAAACTGATAAATGTTTAAAATGTTTAAAAAACAGATATCCCTAGCAATTTATTGAGAAATATGGAAAAATTTAGGATAAAAAACCGAAAGGAACTATGGTAGACAGAAAACGTTACAGGGAATATCGATGGAAGACTAAAAGTTCTATTAACCAGAACATGAACTGCAGTTAGACTGATTTTCTTGTACAAAAACACGCCTTCATCAACTCAATCAAAGGTCGACGGATACTTCTTTAATGTCGCATTTAAGAAATTATATGTATCTACCGGAGCGATTACATTTGGGGAGCAGATAAAAGGGTCTGAGTTCTGATCAAAGGCTTTCAAGACATCTTGACATAGGACGTTGAGTTGGTACGCTGAAGTCTTTCAGGGTTATTAACAATATTAGTATTCCTATATTTTCTAAGGCCGTAAGTATCAAACGTCTGAAAGTGAACTTGTGTAATCAGGAAGAAACAGTGATAAACCCTTATGTACCGTCGTAAAATTCATTTTAATACATCACCATTCATTTAAACCCTTTCCCATAGTGTTATATCCTGACGAGAATTAGGAATGATAACTTTTGAAAACTATTTATGGATCAATACGATACATATATTTCCATTGTATAATTGTTAAGTAGCTAAACTATACATATTCATGTTTCTCTTATTATAAGCTTTATTTTGACTCATAGACTATTATTTTACGATTTACCATTCTTGAATTATGCTCAGTATATTAATTACAATCTCCCACATTCACAGCCACATGTACAAGTGTTGTTTTCTATTTTGTGATGCGATGTAGTTTTTTTGGTTTGTATATAAACCCAGTATGTTTGAAATACATGATTCATATCTCAGAGGCTGAGATTGGTATTCCGGACTTAACAGGTAGGGTTAGGCAGGAAGCAGGATGGGTAAAGACTCTAGATGGGTTTTATGAGTCATTGATCCGGTCGATAAATCACTTTTCTCTAGTTGGCGGCATCATTGCGTTATAGATTATTAGGACCCAAGGCCTCAAGTTATAACACATAGTTATATTTTATCACTTTTGTTTCCTGTTGAATTTATAATTTTATTTCCAACTGACCTAATTCAATTCATGTTAATTTTTTACTACCATTAACCTATGTTCAGTTAATTAGATGCTAAAGTTTATGTTTTATTAAGATTAGATGGTGGTTGGAGGTAGTCAACAGGAAACCCTTGACCCGGGTTTCTCGTCAGCAAGGTGTACCCGTAATTTTGAGGGAACTGGTGCTCCCTGGCGGATTCGATCCCGTGTCAACCAACTTCACAGTCAGATACGTTACCACTGAGCTATCCGGGCCATGACCGACCTCCTGTAGGACTGAGATGTAATCACAATTGATTGATCACTGGTTGGTGATCAATGTCATGTGTGTCAAGTCCTTATTTAGTGCAGATCGAATGCTATCGATCATGCTGCAATGTAGCCACCAGTCTAGGTTTTATTATAATTTGATTACGAGTTTTGATAATTTGGAATATTCCCTTTCACATTGTACTTCTCTCAAATAATTTTCATGGTTCTATTAATTCTATTGACATATTCGCTTCATCACGCAGTAGATATTCATTTGTAGTTAACTCCATTCTCATAAATATATCAATTTCTACAGTAATTTTGATTTTAAAATATTATAGACTGTTAGTAGCTAATATGTTTCTAACATAATAAAATGAATGAATGAATGTTATTCTACTCAAATCTTTACATTTTCTTGCTTCAAAATAAAGGAAACTATGTGTATGAAACCAAAATAATCATTACTATTACACATAGTTTTAATATACCAATTGAAGCTATATACATTTCATTATCCGTATATAACCTAAGCAAAAAATAAATGACCTTGTGAATTTGTCTATTTTAAGTAGTATATGAGTCACTGGTTGATTGGTCCATAATATTTAAATGTAAAAATGATTGGTTGTATTCATTCTAGTGATTCATATTATTTACATTTATTAACTATTAAATAAAAGTAAAGAATGAAATAAAGCTTAGACAAAAGAAAAGAGAAAGAAGATAAACTAATATGAGCTAGCAAATGGAAAAGAGAAACATAGTTAAATACACTTATAGATGTACATATTTATGCATTTATATGAACTTACTTCTCTTGTCCAGCTGTATCCCATAATTGTAGATACAAATTAGTCCCATCGCAATGCATAAATTTCACATGAAAATCAATTGCCACAGTTAATGGAAGATTTAAATCAAATACACCAGATACAAATTTTCTTATAATACTTGATTTTCCAACACCTGAATCACCAACAAATATAACTTTGTAGACACGTTCAGCAAATGATCCATTCTTTTTAAATATATAGGTAAAGAATATGAATAAAATGAAAAGTGGATAACAACATATCAATAACTGAAGAGAATTATTAATACACACTTAATATTAGTCAGAAAACCATTGAAATAAAAAAAAAGACAAAAAAGTAACTAATTTTTTTTAAATTTTTAATCATTTATGTTGTTGTATCCAAATAACATGTCTTCAATTCAACCCAGGTATCTCTACTTATCGGAAAGCTGTGGTTTGTTTTAACAGAGGTAGCAACGGAAGAGGAGGGATACGTTTGGTAATGTTATCGGGAGGAATTTTTCAAGTATGTTAATCTTTCTAATGTTTATCATCAGTTGATATCTGTATCAATGACACCATATAAAACCAAATCCGGTATCCTCAGGTTTCCCGATGAAGATGATATCAGTGAATCGATTATCTAATAACACGGTAGGACTGTGTAACCACCATAATTATTTATTTCCAATAAAATGTACATATTTTTCTAATAAGATCAAGTTTGTTTGCAACCTTGTAGAACCCTGAAACTCCAACAAGTAGACGTATATTTCTTTTTGAACGAACAAGGATTTAGAAAACAAAACGAGTAACAAATCTTCATTTATAATGAATATTACCTCTAACAGGGTTTAATACCGAGCTATATATGTAAGCCTAATGATTAGCATCTATACTTTGCTCTTTAAAGATTATTCATTAGTTTGTATGTCAAGTAACAGAAAGGCTACTCACAGTGGTCGAGTCAGCATTTGAACTCATGTAGGAGGCTCCATCAGGTGAAACTCTTCTTCCACTACATATATAAATGAATTAAAAACAACAGTTACTAATAAAATATTTTCAGTTTGATAGTTATGATAGTTATTTATAATATACAACAATGCTTTCATTACAAATTGAAATCAGTTGACACAGTTATCAAAAAACGAAAAGTACTAAACAGCAGATTAGTTCTCGTTAAGAATTATTCGGCAATATGAAACCGATATTTTCCATATTGTCGAATCTGATAGATAATATCCAGTTATTGAATAAGGATTCAGTATATTTTCGGTTCAACTTTAGTCAATTCAGTATATAGTATCAATATCATTCTATATCATTACTAGTCATTCAGTTCATACAACTCTATTGATTCATCAGATTATACCTTTTCATTTTGAATTTGGTATCAAATAGAATGATAAATTATTATTAGATTATAATTTACTATGACATTTCTAGTGATTAGTTAAATATCTGGTTAAAGAAATAGATATACATTGCATTTATAAAAACATTTATAGGAGTTTGACTTATTCAATGCGTTTATACGCATGATATTAAATTTTAAACAAACTTTTAAATTGTAAAGAATAGTTATTCATTAAGTGAATTAGATATTATAAATGTAACTTATAACAATGGACTTTTAAGTTATTTTTCAAGACAGTTTTAATAAAACTTTTTTTGAAATTTGTCAACAAATTTAAAGTCATAATCGTTCTGATTGTGCTTTCGTCAAGAAAGGTTACTCTATTTGTATATTTGGGTGCTTAGTACCCTTTCACTGTGTTTTTTCACTGAATACTTTGTTAACCGGGACTTCTAGATGCCACTGAACATATTTGGATTCATATTTATTGCCAACGTATTATAAACGAAGCATATCCTAAAATAGTGATGGCAAGTACCTTTCAGTTAGCTAAATGTAGTTGAATAATTACTAACTTATGATAGTAAATAAAAATATAATATCATTTTCTTCTGCGGAACTCTAATAAAAGTAATAATAATAATAATTGTGATAGTGATAATCGATCAACTCACTTTGGCATATAACGTACTTCAGCTGAATCATTAATATGTGCTCGAGATTTCTGTGAAGTTTTTCGAATACGAGGGGTATATATACTGCCAGGATCTGTAATAAGTTACTTATAAGAGATTTTTTAAAAATAAAGTATGATCTACATTGGTTGAAAACTTCTTCGTATTCTTCAGCTTCATCAATATTTCCAAGATCTCCTTCACGTATATTGTCATCATTTAGTCTAAAGTGATGCCAAATTAAAATGTAGAATCTATATTCAAAAATCTATACAGTTAGTTACTTGTTCCTCCTCTCTCTAAGCATTTAGATAGTTTTAATTTGGAATTTGACGATTCACGCTAACTTGTCATCAGAATTGATCACCTCAAGTGGTGTTCGTCAGGGCTGTCCACTCTCCCCATTCTTGTTCAACTTTGTGGTCGACGTACTTTTAGAGATAACACTCTCCTCATCTAAATTTACAGGGGTTGAACTTCTACCAGGAGGTTCACTTGTTGACTTAGAATATGCTGATGACATCGTTTTATTTGGTGAAGACACTGACAAAATGCAGAGTCTTCTGGCCACTCTAAGCAACAATGCAAGCATGTTCGGGATGCGATTCGCTCCCTCGAAATGCAAAATGTTGCTTCAGGATTGGGTTACATCGACACCCGAACTAGTGATAGGGAGTGAAGTAGTTGAGTGTGTCGACCGCTTCACTTATCTTGGAAGTCTCATCAGCCCTTGTGGTTTAGTGTGTGACGAAATCTCAGCACGGATACAGAAGGCTCGATTAGCTTTTGCCAACTTGCGTCATTTATGGCGTAGGCGAGATATCCGTCTATCAACCAAAGGACGTGTTTACTGCGCAGCAGTTCGTTCCGTCCTACTTTATGGGAGTGAAACATGGCCGGTAAGAGTAGAGGATATCCGTAGGTTACTAGTATTTGATCATAGGTGTCTTCGAAACATTGCTCATATATCATGGGACCATCGAGTAAGTAACACAGTTGTTAGGAAACGGGTACTAGGTAAGGATGGCAAATCAATTGATGACGTAGTGAAACTTCATCAGTTGAGATGGCTGGGACACGTGTTACGTATGCCCAACGACCGACTGCCTCGACGTGCTATGTTCAGTGGTATAGGAGTAGGTTGGAAGAAAGCTAGGGGCGGCCAAACCAAAACATGGCACAAGTCCATGAAGTCACTGACAAGTGAACTGAGTCATGTTGGTAGGTGTAGACTACCTGGTTGGGGACCGCGAGATGACAGCAACCGTTGGTTAGAGACCCTGAATGACATGGCTCAAAATCGTTTGCAATGGCGCAGGTGCATCCACTCTCTGTGTTCTCCCAAATTCTAATCTTCTGAATTCTTCATGTCCCTTTTTTTCCTCTTTCCAAATTTCTTTCACTGGATTATACTCTTTAAATAACATCTCCAAACCCTAATCTTCCCGATTACTGCTTATACTCTTATTACCTCTACCACGACGGGATTTGAATCGACAAGTGCATCTCTGTGCTAATGTGGTGTGGCAACTCGAACTGATGTACGTACGTACGAAGTTCTACGTTGTTACTGACTGACTGACTGACTGCTCCTTTATGTTGTTTGTAAAACCATCTTTCTGTGTTCGAAATCGATTTTGAAATGTCCATCAAATATATTTTCAATGAATTAAACTTCTCAGTGTATTAATCAAATATAAACATTAGAGTTAACTTGAAACAATTCAATTTAGTTATAAAAGTAATGAAGTTCCTAGTTTAGGTGCTAAACAAATAAGGATTGTTTTATGATAATAGGGTTTCGCAATATTTTTAAAAATTAAAAGCTCTGTCAGTATGGGGAGTTATAGAGATTGTAGTATTTTCAAAGTTGAATTCACGAGTCGATCTAAGCTAGACAACCATTGAAAGCCTGGAAGCACTGAACGGCCGTTTCGTTCTAATAAGGAACTCCTCAGCAGTGGGTTCGAGTTTCGAGTGCGGCATTGTGGGTGCTGACTGCTGGGGAGTCCCATAGTAGAACGAAACGGCTGTCCAGTGCTTTCAGGTTTTCGATGGTTGTCTAGCTTAGATCGACTCGTGAATTCAGCTGTAAAAACTATGTATTAACTACCGTATTTACTGAGTAATACTGATAATTTGGATTTAGGATATTATTTAATGTACTCGTTTGATAAACAGACAGTTACCTAAATGATACTTCATAATAAATAGTTACAGAGATACATTTATTTGATTTAATTAAGGACATTCTCAACTGAATTTATTAATAACAAAATTTCAGTTAAATATCATCCATGATTCATAATGATTTATTGAACTGAATTTATCTAACTCACCACTAATTTGGGCAGTAATATGATTGAAATAAAAATTTAATTCAAAAGTTTATACAATCATCAATGAACGTTGGACTTACATTACTGGTGTGAAATAATTACTCAGTGTAGAACCTCTTCTTGCATCTGCGATCTCAAAATTTGTCGCATCCAAATCAGTTGAACTACATAGTAAATGTGGTAAGGCGGCAGTATCTTTTATTGTTGTCTCTGAAGCTTTTGCACTGGTCATATCAAATGATTGTGATTTACTGTGAAAATCACGTAAATCAACTGTTTGTGATGTTTCTTTTACTGCGTAAAGCGTTTGGGATTTAAACTCTTGTTCATCAACTAACTTCTGATTAATAGTCCTATATAAAGATCAAAATATTTAGAAGTTAACTAATTTTTCTAAACACTCTATCTAGGATGAAGTGATATTGTTTGAAGAAAAGTAAAGAACAGTTCATTTTCTCACGGTAATTTACTTATTTCAAGTTGTTACAAGAATAAAAGCCATTAATTACATACTTCAGAACTGGATTATTTTTCACAGAAGAAGAAGATTTGTAACTCTATTTCAGATAAGGATGGAATAAATTTACAGATAAGAACCAGACCTAAGCGAATTTAGGAAAATACGTCTGTGTTAAACCTGTGGGCTTCTTTATTCTATTAAACAACGGATAGATATGGATTATAAGGGAGTTTCAAACCTATCCAATAAAATAATAATAGGAAATTGATTTCAATGTTTGAAAAGAGTCAGTATGAAACCCTGACTTTAGTTTTCATTCTAGTTAGCATTCTTTAGTAAGGCATATCTGACATTTTTTGTAAAATGATGCTCCTAGTGAAGTTATAAATTGATGTCGCTAAGTATTACAATCAGAGGTGTTACCACTAAACCATACGAATCTCAACTAACCTATTTCTAAATGTGTTGACGACTGTCTAGCCATTAGTTCATAACTTGATCAATAGGATCAATCGATAGAGAATAGAAAACAAGACACTTGGTACTATTAAGTGATCAATTAATGTTAGGATATTTTGTCACAACCTAGATCTTTCTTTTCTACTCGTTTTGTTTTGATTTTCTTTAGATTAAAAGGTAAAATATTAAATATTTCCGTTCTTCATAAATTTGAATTCAGTTTGATTTCAAACAAAAGTAATGAAACTATGGTAATAAAAAAACACACATTTGTTTAAATTTTGTGAAACATCCAGTATAATGTGTAATATTTAGTAATGATTTAACAGATACCCTAAACGATGGAATAACAGTTTTTTTTGGTTAAACATACTTCATAATGTTCATGTGTATTAACTAATTTTCATCAGCTGTTATTATATAATAATTAGGTTATGATAATGATAATTTTATTATTTTTTTAAATACTTGTTAAAGAGTAAATTAGTGAATAGAGTAGAATATATTTCTGAATTGTTGCCAAATGAATTTTATACCAAAATGTAAATAAGTAACAGTAACTACTGTTGACATTATAAGTAGATATCCATTAGGATGAAATTTGAACAATGTCATCAAATTATTCTTTGTTTTTAAGAAAGTAAATGACTGATGGTATGGTCACTGTGATAACTTGAACAGATAAACTTGGATTCGTATAATATCGTGAGTGTTTACTTCTGTATATTTTTATCATCAACTTTCAAATTAGGAAGAAAATTGACTATAAGAGATCAATTAGACAAATGATATTCACTTTATGAATCTTACATCTTTTTGTAACAACACACAAGGAACTAATCTTCACAATCGATTCATCTGAATAATGAACTCGTCTATATTGATAACTAACATAGAAGTATTTCTTGTGAAATATCATACTGGCTCAATTTTTGTGTAGTGAGACAATCACAATTGATGATATTAGTGCTATATTTCAAGTTAACTGAACGTTGGATTTCAAACCATACACCTAAAGGGAAACGCTCTGATGTAAAATTTGGAGACCATGGGTTCGACCTCCAACAGGGTCATGGGTGCATACTACTGAATTTTATACAGATACATAACAGCTGCACAATTTGCTCTGGTTTTCGGTGATTTTTGAGTTGAAGTCGATTAGTCATGGTGGTTCATATCAGACTAAACTATTATCCACCTCTTATTTAGTTACAGAAATCACACCTTATCTACTTATCTTTTAAAATACCATGGTATTGTAATGGCTTTGTTTCGTTAACCGATCACCTCGATAACCGTTATAATATAAATCTCAATGGTGATTAGAATCAGAAGGCAATGAGAAGCGGTGACTACGGTTTATTAGCGGATAGCGCGGATCGCAAAGCTATAAGCACATCAAGTGAATTTGAAGCGGAACGGCGAATAAGTATGTGCGAGCAATTACATAGGCAAATTTATAGTCAAATTGCATAATGGCTCAGCAAGGCAAAGCAAGGGCTTATGATAGGATTCGAGTACATACATACATCGGGAGGATGATGAATCATCGAGTGATACTTAAGCAATCAACATTTTAGCTAGTGTCTGTCATGTGCTCTAGTGAACATAATGGCACAAAGAAATATGCGAATCATTATTGTTCAAATGATATTGTCTGTTAAGTAATTTAATGAAAGGGCTTAACCAAAATTAACCATAATCGAAATTGGTTGTAGGATAGTTGCTATAGTATCATAACTTGAATATTTTGTCTGAAAAGAGTATGACAACATACTATAAGTGGAATCAACATCCAAACGTATGATGATAAATTGATGAAATTTCAAGAGTTGAAATCATGATTCAATCGAAGTGAGACCACCATGGAAAGCCTGGAAGCATTGGATGGCCGTTCCATCTTATTGTGGAACTCCTCAGTAGTGCGCATCCACGACCTCACTACCTGCGAGATTCAAACCCAAGACCTGCCAGTTTCGCGCGCGAGCGCTTAACCATTAGACCACTGAGCCGGCATCCGACGGTTTTAATGTCTAACTTCAACCAACGAGTTATATTTGTCTCCTATGTATTTATCTACTCTCGTGTAATCAACAACCTAACAAGCAATATCAATCATAAGCTATTTAACAGTTATTTAATCATATTAACCGTATCTTTAACGTATTTAAACTACGTTCATTTATTTATTACGGAATGTAATTTATTGTAATTTCAGTTCATTCACAGTTGATAACAAGGTGTTAAGCAAAAAAATTACACACACACACACCCACTACAATTAGCTTTAGATCACTATTAATAACTGATTAATCAGATTTAGAAAAAAAAGGTTGACTATGAACGGAAAAAATACTTTATGTTATTGCATAGAGTTTACTAAAATACTAATGATAGAAAGTTATCGAAATATTTCACGCTGATTAAAATTAGTTGATACTAGGTAATTGATTATATTGATTATTGATTTGATGAAATGTTACTAAATTAGTTACAAAGAATCATGATAAATATTTATCTAATTATGTAATTTATATTATATTATATAATAAATAGTTGGTCATTTAGGAAATGTAATAAATGATGAATGTTTGGCCTTTTTTATAGCCTTCAGATTTAATGTATATTTTTTAAGTCAATTAAACTGAATCATCTTAGTTTTATTTTGGTTAATCAATCAGTCTAATATATAACTAGTATAATAGTTATATAAGAAATATATAAACATATTAACTATATATATGTATATTTGATAGTGAAAAGGTTTGGATTCTTAGATTTATTCATTTCATTATTATTGATATTATCTTTAAAATGTTGATGGAATGGAAATGAATCAAAAGGTGAATTAGTTAGTATGTTTTGTGTATAAAAGAATTTAGTACCATTTCTAAAGAGTAGTGTTGAGATTAATGAGAATAAAGTACACCTTTACAATTTTTTTTTCCTCATTTCATACAAATTAATGGGTTACATAATACTTTTTAGAGAAAATAATGAATATAAACTAAACGATTTATTGAATACTGATATTATTGTAGTGTGAGCTACTTATATCCACATAAATAGTATATAACGATATTCAGGAATAGAATGTATTTCAGTAGAAGATTGAGAAAGAAAGAACGGTAACGAAAAGCAATTGGTATGGAAATGCAGAAACAATGAAATCTGAGACGATGGATTGATATTTTGTAAATTAAGCATTTATCGTATTGTTCTCAGATATTAGTGCGATGTTCTGTAATTTCGTGCTCAAATACATTTGGTTGTCCGCACCCGTGTTCTTGTTCACTACACCATAACTAAGTGGATTTACAACTATGATCCGCATCCCACTCTACGACTGTACAATCATACATGAAAGTATTGTTAATCATAAAAACTTAAGTGATCCTGGTACTGAGTAGGACATACCGTAACATATCGAGTTGTCTTACTAATGTTTCACGTTCTAATGCTATGCCTTCACTAAGTTCTATGGCTGCCTTTGCTCTACGTCGACGTTCTTCACGTGCTTTCTTCTGTAGTGTATCAATATAATCTTTACATTCATTTAACATTTCTTGTGATTCTTCTAATTTACGTTCTAGATCTTCTTTTTCTTGTAATAATTTCTCTTTTTCTTGCGCGATGCTCATTCGATTCTTTTGAAGTTCTTCTACTTTGATAGAAGCCTGTAAAGATATCATTTAGTAAAGATAAGAATTACACAAATATACATATTTTTACTCTAAATCTGATCATTACAAGCAATAATTTAGGTTTATATAAATATAAAGATAGCTTTTACCATTAAATAAAATCGACTGAATAATATTATTGATTTTGCTCCAAGCCCAGCCATAGGTCGAGCTCAGAGCTGTCAGACCCAGAGAAATATATCAAATCTTCAGATTACTTTGTGTAGAATAAATTGAGAATGTGATCTTTGAATTATAATTTAACTCCAGATCGAAATGAACTCAGTGGTCATGGAATCTAACTAAAAGGCAAGAAGTCATCTTAAAACTAGCTTTACTGTCTAGATAGTTAGTACATAAAATTCTGGGCCCTAAACAGTTTGTTTTCTTAGTATATATTATCTAATAATTTTCGAGTGAAAGTTGACGTTCTGTACTTATACAACTCACGTTGACTCGTAATGAAATATATTTTCACAAATATGCACATTAGTAGGACTACATATCATAATATGTGAAAACTAGTTTACATTCGATTAAATTAATCTTTACCCTAAAGAAGTTTCGTAGTTTAGGAAATGGAGCAACATGTTTATTTTCATTAGAATCTTATTGATCATCAGAGTTATGACTGTTAGCCCGGTGTATGTTTTATGATCTGCCAGCTCTTACAAATAAATAAAAGAAAAATCTAGTACAATAAATGAAGTCAACTGCAAAATGTTCTTTTCTTAAATATTGTTTCCTGGCAAGTTGAATTAATGAAACTCAATATTCCTACAATATCTGAGTTGTGTTAGAAGTAGAGTAGTTTTCTAGCTGCTTATATTACAATAGATATGGCAAGTTTTGGACTTACATTTTTACAACTGAATATATATATATATATATATATATATATATATATATATATATATATATATATATTGCATATGGGAAACCTTTATATTTTAGGACCTTGACTGTTTTCAGTTTATGATGATGGAATTTTATGATTCAGTCAGTTGAAATTCAGATATTCAGAATAGGCTTACGCTTCGGTCGACTTCATTTCATGTTCCCTAATAAAGGGAATGTGAGAAAGGACGTCTTACCAATTTTAACGCTATATATAAAACATGAATATTGGTGTCTATGATTTAATTTTTCGAGAAATCCGCTAAATTGTCTCTTTCGTTTGTTTTGAATCATTCAGGTTATTTGTAGAATCGATTTTCTCTGAGTAGTGAGCATTATCGTATTGATCTAGTCCTTTTTTCTTGCTACCTATCGAGCTATAATGTGGAAAGTACTCTAAGTGACTCGACATTGCGTGAACTATCTTGAGGTAATAGGTAGCTGAACGTAATTAAATTAAAACTAAGGAACTATGTGTAGTGAAGTTTAGCACTCGTCAGCAAGCTGTATCCGTACATGTGACGCTTAATCAAATCCTCCATGGAGCACTAGTTACCTCAAGATTACAGGTATGATCTCCTGAAACCGAGGTCCAGAGTTTCGCATCGATTACATCCAATCACCTAATATAGTTTGTTTGTGAGTATTTTTCTTGAAGAAACTTGTGGTCTCATCCAAATTTATATCCTCAATTATAAGTTGTATAATCAACACTTCGATAACAAAATGTAAATTGGGTACTGTTCACCATTATAAATGATTCAGTAGTTTTTTTTAACAGCAGTTTTTAAAGACCATTTGGATGCCTAACAAAATTTCGATTACAGTTATCATTTAATTGTAATCATATGAGTTAGTTACTTCAATAATATCGCAGTTATAAAGCTTAACAAAACATTCGATATCTCCATTTTTAGAACTTTTTAGACTGATTTTAAAAGATTAGATGGATCATTAATGACGTTTCAATCAAGAATTTATTATCGTGACTCAAAAATTTGAGTAACGTGATCATTTTCTATTTTTAAATTCTTTCTTTTTCAAGTGATCGTTGAAGAATGTCGTTAAGAAATTCTTTCACCTTGTATCTTTTGCGGTTGTTTTATTGATCATCTAAACCAAAATATGTACTTTTCAAAAAGAATCAAAGATTTAGATTTATTTTATTTGGGATTAAATTCATGCAGCCGAGCATCAAAGTATTCAAATCTCCAGTGACCTCTTGTAAAACTTGAGTATGCGTTAAAATTTCTCACTACATTGTAACTAATATTTGTGATGAACTACACACAGTTGCGTAAAATTTATTCATAAAGCATGCAACATGATCAGTAATATAATTGAAAGAGTTCGATGAATATTAAAAAGTAGTTTCTCATCACGAAAGGGGAAGTTATTATGCTTGCATAAAAGAGGTTATATCAATTTGTAATGATTGTTGAAATACTTTCTACCAAATATGGGTAACTGAAAACAAACTCATAAGTTTGCATTAGCATTATGAAATGTATGTAATAGGCTCACTGCATGTAACCTATTTTGTTAATTCATTGCCGAACTTAACACATAAATGAAGTAGTTTCGTTCAGTGAATTCAAAAACAAACTGATTTCATCATTCTAAATGTCTTATAATCATTCCGAATCAAAAAAATTAAATGCTATGAACAATATTATTCTCTGCTTGAAGACTTTATAAATCAGATGGCAGAGCTTCAGTTGGTAAATTACCAGTCATTTACGTCTACACTATATCAGCCTTATAAATTTGGTAGTCGAAAGATACATTCTTATCAAACTAATATGTTAATACTTTGTATGCTCACATAAAGTTACCTTTTACATGGAACACTAATGAGTGCTCAACCGGTGAGTTTTCTCTTTCGTGTTTGCATGAGTAAGGGAGAAAGTAAGGAGTTGTTACAGAACAACTTGTGATTAATCTTGTACAATATAAGTAATGTTCGAAAACTTATGTTGTATGGGAATTTTAGGCAAAAATATAGATATTATTTCTTTTAAATATTCAATAGACAAAGGTTTTACAATTCTTCGTTTGATTTAGGATTAACTAAAACTAGTTGTAAGGTATTCAAATCGAAATTGATCCCCTTCACAGGTGAATGTACTACAAACTATTGATCATGTGGACACACATTTTAAATACCTTACTTTTTCAAATTGTTGTACAAGGTCATTTAACAATTTTTCTTTTTCCTGTACTTTATTATTTAATTCTTCCTTCAGTTCTCTTTCCTTGAGTTCTTCCTTTATAAAAACAAGGAGGAAAATTAAAGATCATTTCATGAAAGCATTAAAAACACTTAGAATATAGAATTTACTACAAATATTTAAATACGACTATGTATGTTATCGGTATGTTTGTATATTAATCGGAAATTAAAGGTTCATGTATTATGTGGCATAAAATACACGATGTAATGCTTCTTCATATTACATACAGTAAAACAGAACATTTAGTTTGATTGTATAATTTTAAAGATTATAATCGTTAGATCAGTATGCATTTTGATAAACATGTAATTGAATCCTACTGATAAATGTGGATAAATGCAAAATCAACAGATTACTACTGATAAATGTTGTGATGGCAAAATCACTGAAATGGACATGAGTAAAACCAGCAGAAATAATGAAGAAAGATTGAAAATATAACTTTGAATTAAAGTATAGTTAAACTGGGCGAGACTCTAATTTAGCGACGAGCCAATCAGAAGCGTTTGAGCAATTTCAAGGTCACGGAGCCAAGTTCAACACGCGATGATAACATACGGTCGGTTCACAGCGGATTTTAAAGAGGAGGTGCTTAGTGAGAGGTTAAAACAGATGGGACGGCGGAACTCTAATTTAGAGACGAGCCAATGAGAAGCGTTTGAGCAATTTCAATTATTAGCCAATCAGAAGACAGTATAAAGTAAAAATATATTACAAGTAAGTAATGAATTACAGTGGATATTCTTCTTTTACATGATTTAAAAACTTGTTGAGGTTTGATAAATGCTCAGAAGTTTTGAATTCATAATGCATATTGTATAGAAACTCGTCCATAGGGTTAGGGTTTGGGGTTAAGGCTTAGGTTAAGGTTAGGGTTAGATTAGGCTTTAGGGTTAGGTTAAGGTTAGGGCTAGATAAGGGTTTAGGGTTAGGTTAAGGTTAGGGTTAGATTAGGGTTTAGGTTAAGGTTAGGGTTTATGGTTACGGTTAGATGAGGGTTTAGGATTAGTTTAGGTTAAAGTTAGGGTTAGATTAAGGTTAAGGTTAGGGTGCTAACATGCGATCGGTTTACATCGGATTTTAGAGGTGTTTTTTGACAGGCCTCAACCCCACCCTGACCCTAACCATAACCCCAAACCCTCACCTCTAACCCTAACCTCTAAAATCCGTTGTAAACTGATCGGATGTTAGCACCCTAACCCTAGGCTACAGCCCTAACCACTAGCCCTATGGACGAGTTTCTATACCATATGCATTATGAATTCAGAGCCTCTGAACCTTTATCAAACCTTAACAAGTTTTTAAATCATGTAAAAGAAGAATATCCACTGTAATTCATTACTTACAATATATTCTCACTTTATACTAACTGTCTTCTGATTGGCTAATAATTGTCAAGGTCATTTAAGATTCGTTCAAAGGTCGTTGCTAAATTAGAGTCTCGCCTTAAACTGTATACTTTCAAATGTTTTCTAGATACCTATAGAAATGTAAAAAACATTCATCCAAAAAATTAGTCCGATAATTTGAATGTGCAGTTACTTTACATTGGTGACAAGTAGTCATATGAAATCTAGATTTTCCTGTCAACTATCTTCATAAAGCATAGCACTGAACTGATGTGTTACAAAGTTTATCAAATGTATTAAAAACTATTTAGCTTAATGAATATAACACCGTCCAAATTCTCATCCTTAACTACAAATGTTCTTCATCCTATGGAAATTAGAAAGCTATCCTCTTGATATCCAATATATATGTATTCTCAATGTGTATTTATTGAATAATTAGTCTATGAATTTTCATAATATCAAATTGTAAGCATTCATCTAACTCACTAAATTATATTATTTTCTTTTATTGTCTAAAAATTACAATAAACTAATCATGACTTTGGTACTGACAAATATTCTTGTCATGTGCATATCTGTGTGTTTTAATCTTATATTTTTATGTATATAATCATGAGAGCCTTTAATTTTAAATTATACGAAATAACGCGAGATGTTTGATTGTACTTTGTTGGTGCTTTAATTGGTACGATGGACTGTTCATTATCATTAAATTATATACAGGGAGAAACAAACATACATCAAAGTTAACTATTTACCTTTTGTTTTAATTGTTCTTTTTCTTGATTAACTTGTAGCTCTAGTTCTTCGACTAAATTGTGCAATTCTTCATCTTGTTTCATTATTTTACTATTAAAGAGAGAAACAGAAAAAACAAGAAGAAACCAATCGAATACAGAAATAATAGATAAAGTTGGTTATGGAGATTGTTGAATGTTGTCACTATACATTACATATTGACTTGAGTTATTGAAGTATTGAAAACCAAAAAGTTATGGACAGCTATTTTATAGTAGTATCGAACATTTCTGTAATGTGCATTCACGGTCACATCAGGTCCTGAGTTCCTGATCTCTGGTGATTTCCAATGCCTGTTTAATTCGGGTCACTCTTTAATATGAAATCATAAATGATTAAAAAATTTATATGAAAGTGTATAAAATTTCATTATGATCAATTTAAGGATTGACAATTTCTTTTTAAAAAAGGTTTGGGTGGATCACTTTATTGTTTGATGTTTAATTATTGTTAAATTATTGTTTGACTTGATATAGAAATGATAATAATTTCCTTTGTCTTTACCATAATACACGTTCATGATGAAGTGTATAATTGTAAGATTTGAAATGGACGCACAATGAAGAAAGTATTGCTCATTTCAATCACAGTTGAATTTGGAAAGTTATCTTGCACAGTAAATAATCTTAGTGTCTTACATGTGAATTCCGGGTTAATTTTTAAACTAGACATTTTTTGCTAGTTAACTCCCAATTTTTGTCTTTTTTTCAACTAAGATCCAGCTATACAAGCTTATAATGAAATATGAATAAATAAACCAGTTATAATTAACTCAAACTAATAAACTTTATGTCATCCTATTTAATGAATAAATGTAGAAAAATCTTGAATCATGACAGATTTGGAATCAGTGACTTCAAGACTATTCTGTGATTGTGTTTCACATTTCATTATTGATAAGTCAACTTAAATAGAAAAAAAACTGTTAGTGACATTCAAGAGAATTCATACGGTATTCTTAACATTAAAATGTAAATTCGTTTATAACTATTAATTCATTTTAAATTGTTTGTTTGAATCTTCTCATTGATGTTTAGGATTGCAATCCAAGTCCCGGAGTGAACACCAACTGTAGGATTCAGGTACATCCAGTCGACAAATCCCAAATAGTACGAAACGCGCGTCCTGGTTTAGTGGCCTTATATCTAACTCCAGTTATATCATGTTTTTCATTGTGATTAAGGTACGCTTGTCTAAATATCACTTTTGTGGCCCGAGATCTGACTCCAGTTGGATCGTATGAATGTTATTGAAATATACATGTCGTCAATCTTCCTATATAATTATCGACCTAACTCGCATTGGTGAATAACGGAATTAAATAAGTCAAATATAAGAATGGATGTTTGAATATGTATATCTTGTACACTTGTTGATCGGAACAGATAATCAGAGAGTCGCGGCGTATGAAGTGAAGAAGAGTGAGCTAAACGAAATGATGCGCAGTGGAAAAGGCATGTGAACCAACTCATATTACACTTTAGTGGCTCTACATCTGACTCCATATCAGAAGGCTGTGTGTTCATATCACGTCGCGTTCACCACAAAACTCGATTCCACTGATAGCCTCCATCCATCTTTATTTATGACTATTGATTGCACTGTACTTTATTGTTCATTCTATCTAATAATCTAATATTTTGTAATTATCAAGTTAACTTTGATAATTTAGTTAAATTATATAAATCATACAATAATAATCATACTGTTTAGTACAGTAAGTAGATTGTAAAAAAAAGAATGTGATGAATATAACTACTTCCAAAGTTAATTATTTTAAACATTTCAGTTAGTAATTAGAAGTCTATTGAACTAGTAATCAATTCGATGATACTAGAAAATTAATTAATTCAATAAAGTGATTGAAATTGAAAAGAAAGGTACTTAAAATCATTCGTTTAACTGTATTCTTTGATTTGAAGTCAATGTGATGCTTTACAGGCAAATCTTTGTAGAATAATGGATAAAATGTCTTTGTTTAGTCTTATGGATGTTAATATGATAGTTCATTATCTGATTGAATCCTTATCCACCATCTCGATTGATGGAACACATTCTATATGACAGGATTCAAAGAATAAAGATTTTTAATGAAAGTTTATTTATTTCCAGTTAATTTTAATTGACAAAATTTCAGGTTGTTAGTGTAATGAGTACGAGTAGTTCATTTACAAAATAATATTTTTCTTTAAGATTTGAATTAAAACAGCTAATGAGTTATGCAAAAGTATCAAGATATGAAATCTTTCTCATAAGGTTAATAAACAACATAATTGTTAAATGGAATAGAATTGATTACTATGACCATAATTGGTCACTGATTAGTTACTGATATCGTGATTGTCTAGTCTTCTGTGAGGAGAAAATTGTACCAACTAATGAGTTCCCACTAGTTTAAAAACTTTGGTTAGTAATTAATACCGATTGGTTCCAACCACCTAACATTTATGTTAACTTCTAAATTTCTATCACTAAAGTTACAAAACAATGATAACATTATTACTATACTATGATGTCTACGAAAACAAGTATTCTCAGTAAAGTGTAATGTTTTTGAATATGAGAGTAGTCTGTCGTCAGTTAGGATTAGTTTCAGCGGTTAAATACTCTATATCAATAACTGTATGATAAAATATTTGAATGGTTGTCGAATTTGGTAATTGCTTATGAAAATTAATGTGCCTATCCACAGAATTCAGATACAAGGTTATAAATAGGGCAGAACTACTATTGCTCGAAAATTAAATTCATTTTAGTAAATTGATACACAAAAATAGTAATCATGATTAAGTCATCTAGAGTATATACACATATATACATATGTATATATATAGGACAAGCTTTTTTGTCGATCACCTTTCGATTGAAGAAATTGTAATCAGTCCCAATTCATACTGGTTACTTAAAATGTTTGATATGGCATAGGTTTTGTGCATAGATATTACTTATTTAACAAACATTATTTGCGTAATTTGACCTAAAAGATTTGCTCAAATAAACCTAAACATTTCATAGTGAAATTTCATTCACATAGTTCCCTTTATTATTTTAAAGAAAGCAAGAACAAAGATTGGTGAAGAATAATATGAATTCATTTTATTTCGTTAGGTTCCCATCAACTGCTTACAACCTAACGAAATAAAATGAATTCATATTATTCTGCACCAATTTTTGTCATTGCTCTCGTTAAAATTTCATAGTGAACTAGGCCCGTTTTGGCATAGAAGATGATAACGTCATACTGTAATTAGATTTGGAACTGTGGACGAAGTGCCCTGGTACGGCCGAGAGTGGGGGGAGTCAGATCTCCCTCCCAAACTCCTCTCACATGGCCACGTGCATACAACCACTGCTATGGAAGTCCTACTCATTGCCTTCTCGCAATGGGGGTGTTGGTTACGAGATTAAGAGGACAAGAAGCGAATGTCAGGCTCTTTAAACGAGTTAGTGGGTATGAAGGATCCACTTAGGTGAGTCGGAAAACCCTGATTCCAAACCAATGATGCACATGAACTCCAGGATCCTGAAGGAAACAAGTGGCCTTTGAACAAATTATTGGTCACCGGCTACCATGGGAATACATCTTCTGACGTTGCTCCACTATTTTGTTGATCAGAACATTAGGTCGAAGTCTCGGAGTGTGGCCCTCTAAGAAAACCATCAGCTTCGGTTTGAGCACCCGGAAAGTATCCCAGCCCACATAGAAATCAAGTGACTTGTATGGCGCACATGTATTCGGTGCGCTTTGTACCAATATTTATATGTTCAAATAAATCGTATGTGAGATAGTGATCGTATGGTGATGAAAAGTCATAAACTAAGACAAACCGATATTCACAACTCTATTATGCTCGTTTATGTTTTAATATGTTTAGGATAATAGATTCAATGTAATCAAAATATATAGATTTAAATGTATTCATGATTGTAAATGAGCATTACTGAGCCCCTGTTGATTTTAAAAGTCAGGAAACCAAGATTTTATTTCCTGATATCGATCACAGGTCTAGGTAAACTGTCATCAATATGTTAATACGACAAAACTTCATATATGAGGACCATTTTGACATAAATATACTGAAAGTTGGTCAATATTTTATGAGTTTATTTTTTCAGTTCTTATTCATAGTAACTGGCATTTTTTCTTACAAAAACCTTATTACCTATTAGAACTGCATTTTGTTAGAGGCATTTACATGATACAAAATATCACCAATCGTTGTGTATTTGTTGATCAGAAAAATCATTTTTATTACTTCTGACCGATCTAATAATTCAAAGAAATGCACACAGATTATCTAAGAAATTTAATTTAGGTTCCAAATAATTTATGTATTAACCATAATTAACTGAATTAAATAGAAGAGTCAGGTGTGAAATATCAATAACTATCTTACTTCCTTACTAGGTGTAAACCAATCAACTGACTTGTGAACACGCTTAAATCTGTTTAATACCAAACTTATTAATGTCAATTTATTAGAATACGAGAGCTTAATTTACACGTTATATATAATGTGACTAGTAACATATCTAAAGGCTTTCTTTAAAGAGCATTGGGAATAAGGAGTCAATCCGCACAGGTTACAAACATGCCAGTTCAGATTAATCAATTTCATTTCTTAACATTAACAAAGAGACGGTTTCAAATCAAGTTTTTACAGTTTAAGATATTCGTCAATAATCTATATTATGATTATTGGAATCATTGACTAATAATCATACTATGTGATATTTTCAAATAAAAATATTACTAGTGTTGTAATGTGTAAATATAACCGGTTTGTTAACTCAGGAACATTGATTTTCATTTTCAAGTTTTTAACGTGTGTACTATCAAATATTTTAGTGTGTAATATACCATTCTTGTTTAATTTTAAGCTCAAGATTGTGTGATTATGTACTTGTTAAATCTAAAATATTTCAGTTTTTGAGACTTAGCTACGAGATCGTCTAATTGACTGTACTTACTAATTATTACCATCATATAATTATTATTTATTAACTACTAATACAAATAATATGTAAAACGGATGGTTAGAGTATGCAAG